CTTTTTTAGACATGATTTTATTGAATAAGATATCCGAACTTGTCTCTGAAGATTTTTTAAAGGGACTCTCTGATTTTTTCCTTTTCATTCAAAATTCAAAAATCGAGGAAGTTGCCAGAATCATTTTTCAAAGATACATAGTGGGACTTAGGAAAAGTGCAACGTTGTTATAAAGGTAGAAGGAAATATCAAAAATGTGAAAGATGGTTTTTTTGGATTTTATGGACAAAAATATAGAAATTCGTTCCAATATGTACTTACCAGGTGAGACGGCACTTTTGTACCATGCCAGAATTATAAAAGATACTGCCTGTAGAGCAAAGGCCACCATACATTCAATCAGTCCGACGCCATATGCTGAAAAATAAAATCTCAGTTTTTTCTCTACTGACTGATTATAAGTCAACCCACCATCCAGGTAAATCTGCCGCAAATCAGACCAGTTAGCTTGACCTACTTGAGCGAATAGAGCTAACATTGCAACACCATATCCAAGTGTTGTTTGAGGAAAAATTAGCTATAAAATAATTTTTGTCAAAACAAAAACACCAACATGGAGTATGATCGTAAACCTACCGTAAACCTTGTAAAACTCTTGCTTCTGGCACGTACGCTCAGCTGATATGGAAAGAAGAAGAGGAAGTAGATGAGACAGGTAGCCGCTGTTGATATGTTGGCATTAGAGAAGAAAGTCGACAGCAGCAGACAAAGTGCGATGGAGGATATGGCGAATAGGGAGAGAAAGACGAAAACCAACCAGAAATCAGCATTGAGGAGGTTTCCGAACTGAAATAAATGAACTTAGGGGAACCACAGCCTTGGTAGGAAAGACCAAGTTATTTTGGCGAGGGCGAAAGAGGAAGAGGAAAGGGAATGGAACAGGGGTGCCAGGAAAATCAGGGACTTTTTATCACAAACGAGTACCGCGATAATTCTATCAAAGGTCAGTTGCGACTCTACGACTTTACTCTAGAACCGTTTAGAACATGATTCTTGATGATGCCTTTGTTGCTAATTGAGAGAGAACTTAGCTAGCTGAAAAGCTATATTTCTATTCTCAATCTTAAAAGACGGAATGTCAACACTCGTAGAGATGATCCAGCCGAACTTTGAGTTTCGCGAAAAGATGCTAATTCCGCAGTTTCGCTATAGAAATCTAGTAGAGTGAGCGGTACAGAAGAAAGGTTTTGAAGAGAGAAAGGCATGCATATATTTTGATAGAATATTAATGAATTTTCTCTCTGAAAGATTTTTGAAAGCAAAAATGGAGTCCAGGCAAAACAGGGTAGTGAACTTTCTATGTAGGAACTAATTCGTAAACAAGAAATTCGTCAAAGGCTTGCCCGCACCGTACTCGACGAGGAGTCCAGGCTCGGAATGATAATAGTGCTAGTCGAAAGTTTAGAGTTGAATTTTTTGAGTTACATGATTTGTGCGAGTTGCCATTCGGGTAATGGCTTAGTAAAGCTCCGAATTAATTTATACATCAAATATCCATTTACCCATATTTTGGTCCTGAATTTTACTGGATTTGTAGCTTTGCGTGATTTGTAAGCTTTATTGCAGTAGTTAAGTCCTTAGAGAAATTTCTTTTGTACCTTTCCGAAGATTTGGCAAAGCTAATTACAAAATGTTCTCAAAAATCCTAAGAACGATAATTTTTGGCATACCTTTATAATCAATGTTATAGCAAAGGTGCTCGTTACGTTCAGGACCAGAGAAATGAATGCCCATGACCATAGATGTACCATGTCGCCTAATCCCATAATCCTCATTTGCTCCTGAAATACCAAAACTTTGCATACACAAAGTTATTATGTAGGTCAAATGTTACCAACCTTAAGCCTAAGCTCCTTCTCATGTACGATGTTCTTTACCAGTAAGGCAGCCGGTATGATGAAAGACAAAATCACGAACAATGCGAGGAAGTAGGTGATGTTGAAACTAAATTGTATTGTTTGAAGAATGAGCGCAAATTTGTACAATGGAACTCACGTATCGAAAGAAACACATGGGAAAGGCTCTTGTTGTGAGTACATTCCTAGCGAGACGGACGAGTTCGAGCGTAGGGCGATGATAGCTCGTTCGATGGCTTCTGAACACAATAGAATGGTAGAATCGGTACCGTAATCTACTGGCATAAAAATGTAAAAAAA